ACATTTTTTCCAGGAGGCAAGTTCGATAAAAATCTAAATAAGATAACTGAAAGAGCAGATGTTTTAGGTAACCCGAAACTGAAACTGAAACTCTCATAACCCGAAAATGAAACACTGAACTGAAATCAACGTTGATGTTTTAGGTGACCCATCGACTTCTATCTCAGTTAGTTTACCAACGAACAAACTTTGCGCTCTTATTTTTTCTACCTTTCTTATGATTGGGTATTTTTTCGATTCATAAGCGATTAGAAAAAAAAAAAAAAATTCTGAATTGAAATAGCCTGTTTGAAGCTACTACCATAACATATATACGGTTTTCTTTTTTTGACTAATGAGTACTCTTCGATTGATTATAATTAACCTTTGTACTGCCATCCTGAATTATTCTCCTGAATATACTCCTATCCATATCCATCCACATCGCTCGGCTCCAACAATCACGAACTATTGTTGGATTGTGCTCTGCAATGTTCCCATGTAAGATTGTATTTCACTTTTCCAGAATTGCTATCTTCGAAGTTCAACAATTTAAAAAAATCATTTGTGGAGTTGTTTCGACCGGCCTTTACTTTAATTTCTTTCTTTCATATCTGACTAATCTAAGTTGAATTTTAAGCTTGTAACAAATGAGATCTATCTATTATCACATGAATTCGAAAATCAAAACGCTTTTCGTCCACAGATTTGGGCACAAAGTACAGAAATCTTGTGCGGACCATGGATTTTCGATGAAGTAATGGAAAATAAGCGACTAATATGCTGACGATATTTAACACTTAACTTTATTGAATATGATTAGGTTATTGAAAATAATGTTTGGTGTTCGGTGCTTAAGAAAGTAAATAAGGTACCACAAATTTGATGACCAAAAGGTGGATTGAGAATGACGAGCTTGACACACACACTTTTGTGACATGATACTACTGGCAGTGACTTCTTGACTCTGTCGCACGATTCATTTGCAAAATAAGGCAATTGCCGCAAGTAGTGTATATGATTTGAACCATCTTGTGGCTTAAAAAACTTTTGGTAAGAAGGTCAAGACCTATAAATTTAAGGCTTGACCTTAGCCTTAGACTGCAATGTTCTCATCGATTTTATTCAACCAATTATCGTTAAAAAAAGGAATACGATAGGATGAAATGGCAATTCTAACCCAGCGTTTAAGAATATTTTCCGATGAACAACTATAACATTTCCTGGAAGGAGTGACGGTAATTCTCTGCTGGCTTTACCGTACTCCGACAGTTGGAGAAGTAGTATTGTAATATGCAGGTACATTCAGTGCAGGAAGGTTTGTAATCGATGCCAAAGCCAAAGCCAAGGAAGCATTAGTCTGCAGTCATTATTATTATTTTGCTGTTATAAACGAGCTATATTACCAGTTTCTCACGTGTTTCAAATTGAAGGTACTGATAAATTCTAAAGCCTAGGCTCTATGCAAGACTTGGGGTCGGTGAAATGATATTTAGCGCCAAGAAGAAGAAATAAAATAGAATAAAACAGCGAGAAAAATAAAAAATGGACGAAAAAAGAAAGAAAGGAATACTAGTTTGATTGATAGCTATCGCTTGAGTCGTTCCTCATCAAATGCTTAAGGCTCTTTAGTATCAATTAAATGTTAACCTAAAGTTGTGGCAAAAGAAATAGATACGGTAAGCATGTTTATTCATCCTACCTTATCACTATCATTATCGTTATCTTGAATATCTCAATCAGATTTTGCTATTCTTTATAGCTCTGCGGGGTGGTGGATATTATACTATAACCGATCGCTAAAATTTGACCATTTTTTAAAAAAAAGAAAGACACAAATAATACTTTTTATCTGAAAGATGAAATGAAGGAGTGGTTGGATAGATGAGCTCAGCAGTATCGAAAAATACAAGAACAGTCCAAATAGCTTTGAATTTGTGATCTGGGCAAAGGGTCAGCACAAAAAACAGGATGAAATCAAATGAGTCTAGGATGTGGATAGGAATTTTCATTTGTTTGGGGAATTTCAATCGATCGCTAGTCTCTTTTTGCAGGTGCAGTAGGCCGATTTATATTGTGATACATTATCATCCATGTTAAAACTTGAAATAGACTAGAAAATTTAGCATAAAATTCGGGCGAAAAGAGATACGAGAAAAAAATATGTAGATTTTTGGAAAAAAAAAGCCAATGAAGCGAAGTGAAAAGTTCAAAGATATAAAAATGTCAAGATTAAAAAATTGAAGGAAGTAGGGGAAGGGAAATAGGAATGAGGACAGAATAGAGAAATTGGGAATGTGACACATGCACGTGCTCCTACCTATTCTCTAATTGCAGTCCAACTTATACAACTGCGACACCATTTTTCGTTTAAGAAAGTACCAATCATAGATACACACTAGACACACACCCACACACACACCCACACACATACACACACACACATACACACACACTCATACACACACATACATACATGCATATGTATATATCGATAAACTCGCACAATGACATTCTTATTTGAAGTTTTGACCAAAATAAATTATGGACAATTATATTAGAGAAGTAATCATTTCTTTGCAAATTATGATCTTTGTAAAATGGATGAAAGAAAGAAGCCAAAAGAGAGGACAAAAAAACTTATCATTAATATCATCATGTATAGCATGATGATGAACCATCTATTAAATGACAGTATCACTTAGTCATAGTTGTAATTGGAACAGACAACCAATTGTAATAAAAGTTTTAGTGCTTTATTCTTAGCACAAATTATAAGACAATTATTAGAGAATATCATGGATGGATACAGTCCATTATCAGGTTATTCATTCATGTTTATTGTCACTCGTAGTATGGATTTAGTTTAGCATAGATTTGATGGTAGTGAGTTGAACCGAATCAGTGTGGATACTCAATCGTGTGATCTTTTTGATGTCCTCCTCCCTGATATAACACAAATTTGACATTTTAACGATACTTTAACCATTGAGCATGAGCTCGATTATCAGACTGAAAGATCTTTGCATTTAAGTAAATGACCAGAAAAGATCAAGCTTATTAGCTTTCGACAAGCCACAAACAAAATTTCAAGTTTTCATGGAACTTTTTAAATAATATGCAAATGTCGGTTAGTATAAAAAGAATTGAAGAGTCAAGTAAGTATCATTTTGTAATTAATAGAATATTCGGCCGGTGAGCGAGTTGTGGTGTATTCCTCGACAGCTCTTTTGCGAGGAATCCAAGGAATAGCGTGTCGTGATTATCTTAAATGGGAGATTTAGGTTTAAAGCCAAAAATTCGAATTGGTGCTGTGATTGCCCAGCAATGGACAATCAAGAAAAAATTGGGTGAAGGCAGCTGTGGAATCGTTTTTCTATTAGCCAACATTTCAAATCCAAAGGTATAAGTAACCTAAGCCAACACAGCAGTTAGATTTGGGACAAAAAAAAGAGTGCAAAAGCTGAAAGATCCAAGATCTCATCATTTAAAAAATTATTTCATACAATCTCCTATGAAGAAGCCAAGGATCTTATTAAATTTGGGCCCAAATATTCAGGCTCATGCAGCAATGAAAGTGGAACCTCTGATGATAGATTCTAATGATGAGATATTGAAAATGGAAGTGTTCGTGTTGAAGAAAATGCAAAAATCGAAACACGCTTGCCGATTATTTGGTGCAGGCCGCACAAGCACTTTTAATTATATGATTATGTCACTTCTGGGAAAGTAAGCACATTAACACCTCAATTGCCAATTATAAACCCTCTAAACATGTTATTATATCCATCCGATTATATCCATAAGGAGAATATTTACAGGAATCTAAGTGATTTACGATATATGATGCCTTCGAAACGTTTCACTACAGGCACAAGCCTAAGATTAGGCAAACAAGGATTACAAGTATGCTTTCTAGCTACCTACGATTAAGGCATTGGTACACATAAAACTTTTGGGTAATCAATTTTATGTGATGAAAATCTCTCAGGATGTGTTCCTTTTCCTCAAGAGATAAATTGGGCTTTTGAGATATACCATGCACCCTTGCTTGTTTTTGCTATTCCAGAAAATTATTGATGATAAGATAGTAATCATTGTGGCAATAATTACAGTTTGAATATTATGATCATAGCATTTAATTAGCACTTTGACCAACTTTACAAAACAGCATCCGAGATTGCCATTATCGATCATCTAAAGCTAAACATAGAATTCTTAATTCCTGATCCGAATTCGTTGATTACTAAATGGTAAATTGTTGGAAGTAATTCATATCTTTTAGTTCTCATGAACAGATTATACTATTACCCATCTCTTAGTAACCAAAGAAATGAGAAAATCAATGAGACTTACCAATTCTGGAAAACCGTTTGTTTTAGCTGTAGTTTTTCGGTTGTTAATGCTCATATGCTAAAACTCTCAAATTTCATCACAGGAATTAGGCAAGCATTTTTTTACTTGTCATTCCTTCTGTCCCGCTATCCAAGATAACCTAAATTTGGTAATTTAGCAATAATTTCAGGCTCTGAAAGATTTACACAGTGCTGGATTTATACATCGTGATGTGAAACCGCTCAATTTTTCCCTCGGATCAACACGATCTACAAAACGAATTCTATTCCTATTTGATTTTGGCTTATCACGACAAATTTTTCTACCAGTACAAGGAACGAATGAAATGAAACTTCGAGAAGCGAGAAAAAAAGTTCAAAAGTTCTCTTCTAAAAAAACAGAAAATCATTCAGTTTAAAAAATGTCGCCGTATTTCACCAATAATTTCTTTATGAAACAACCAGTTGACCTCTGACTTCAAGAAATGGCACGCAAATGTAGAAGTATCATGGTGGTAGCTTATTTAAATAATTTGAAATTTATACGAACTGGAATGCATTCATGGCAACATTTCTTTTTCCCTCACAACAATCAGAAGAATTTTTTAGGTAACTTTTAGAGGTACCGTCCGTTATTGTTCCGTTAACGTTCACCATCATAAAGAACAAGGTAGACATGACGATCTGATTTCATTGATATATACTGTCGTTGAACTTATCACCGGCGAATTACCATGGCGAGGATTGAACCGGCGTGAAAGTGCCACTGTCAAAGCAACTGTACCAGATAAAAAACTTTTCAATGTAAATTTTCATAAATTTCAAAGGTGGGTTAAGTGACACTCTCATAAGTGTACATATATAATGCGTGTCTCTTATCCGTCACGCTTCATTGTCACCAACTGATAGTAACAATTATCACTATCTTATGAACGCAAGGCTTCTATTCAATATAACCTTGCTTCCTACTTTCAAAAATATGAGAAAAGATTTTTTTGGGTGGCCTAAAAAGTTACTGGAAAAGTAAGAGCTTCGAATGGTATCCGTAGCAGTCATTTTATATTGTTTTTCTTTCTGTATTGACAAGAAATAAATTGTTTACAGCAATGTCCTGAGAATTTTACAACAATTTATGCATATCTGAAAGGACTTGAATATAACGATTCGCCGAATTACGAATTTATCGATAAAAAATTTGACGACACTTTATCAAGCAAAAAGTATGATTGAAAACAAAGTTTGCGAAAAGTTGTGATACAACTTCTCAGACAATTGTTTCAAACGATTCGTCTCAAAAGGAAACAGAAAGTTCAATCTACGGAAAGTAATATATGACGTATTTCAGAAATTAAAAATATAAGTCTGAATTTCAAGATAACCGGAAGAAATGAGCTTGATCAGTTTCTAAGCTCTTTTTCTTGTAGTATTAAAGATGAATCACCGTATGACTGGGAAAGCGGTGGGCGCTATTTCGATGACGTAGCTGGTAAAGTAATGCCCAAAAGACGTAGAAATGCAGATGAACAAGTGGAAAAAGACTCGGTCTGCTGTTTTCCGGAAAACCTTTTTTTCCTGGATTGCCATAAATTTAAGGGAAAATCGCAAGATTCTCTAAGATAACAACGCTTTAGAATCTTTTTTATTGATATCTCTGAGATAGTCGCATATACACATCGATGGATGAGTGCAAGGGGAATGTTAACTCTCAAAAAACTTTACGTGCAGTGTGAATTTGCAGTCGTCAACAGTGAAAGAAGAAGTACCATCAACGGAGGAAGGACCATCAACCGAAGAAGGCGATTCGGAGATGATAGGAGTTGACAAAGAAAATACTCTCGAGGATTTACAAGAAATTAAATAAATTCATTTTCCAATCAAGGACGAAAAATGTTATATGTGATGTTTGATTCTAGAAAAAAATCTATTTTTACATCAGATCATCATCAAGCTGAAATTGTAAGTAATAAAAGGATTACAGTCAACTGAGAAAATTTGGCTGGCATTAGATACCATTAAGTCATATAATTTTCCGTAAAGTTTAATGATACTAGGTAACAGATTGCAATATACAATATATCATGCTTCCTTATACTGTAATACTTGTAAATTGATCAATTTCAGAATATCTATGCGATATCAGTTCTCTTTTTAGTAGATATCAGGCTATAACAATACCATCATTTTAGGAAGGAAATCTACTACCTTACAAGAAAAAAAACCTCAACAAGAAACCCTCTGCAAAAACCTTTTATGATGGGAAAGTCAGTTGACGAGTCCATTACTCCAAATGATCGCTACGAATGCAATCTCGAAGTAAAGAAGGGCAAGGTGGATTGCAAAAACTATGCAATGCAGCAAGCTGTTATCGTTTTTACAAATAAAAAAAAAACTTTTCAAAAAGCATGGTTAAATAAAAGATAATTTACATATTATTACCCATCAAGTCGTCTTAGTTTTGCCTCTGTATAGAATACCGGTGATATGATATCAGCATATCAGTATAAACACTCAAAAATGAATCCTTGATGATTAGTGACTTCAAATCATTTACAAGGAGATATATCCGAACAAAACTTTAAGATTCCCAGTTGGAAGCGCCATATCGCTAATGATCAAGGTCGTTTCTTGGTCAAAATGACAAATGATTTCATTCGGAAAATTATCTGAGGCCTTATTTACGGCCTGACATTTCGGCATGGTCTAGAACTGAAGTAATGCTTTCTTGTGTCCAGTTTAGTGTTTAAAATTCTCAGCGAATTCATAGTTCACTGTTGAACAATTTATGGCTTAATGACAACATCGTGTTATAGGCCGATGATAATATTGTATGAAGCCTTCGTTAAAAGAATGAAATAAGCGAATTCAGAAATGCACAGAATACAATCACACCTCTGCATTCTCTTAATCCAGGCAAAATCGCCATCATACTCGCGACAACATTTCTGCCTTGACCTCGCCCTCTTTTCACATTCTGACCTCTTTTCAGTTGTACAAGTTGAACTATATGAGAAAACACTCCATTTACTGTTTATTAAGAAATTAGCCCCAAATCATCAGGATTCTTTAGTGTCAATTTCCAGGAAAGGTTTTACCACATGAGTCGTTTATACTTCTTTTCCCGCTTTCCTAGACCTGTTGCGCCGTTTCGATGCTTTCAAGTGGAAATGTTCACAAATTGGACATGCACCAAGCATTGGACATGTTTCATGTCATTACGCATACTTCTGTTAATTCTTCGTAATTCACCTGTTGACAGAAAGAGTAACTTTGCCTATTTTCTGTGCAATTTCTATGCTCAGTACATTTCGAAGGCGAAACACTTAAGCTGTGATAATTGGAAGGGCTACGTGAAGGTCACTCTATATTACTTTCCAAGATGGACTTCAACACTACCACGACAGTTCCTTTTTGTCAGACATGTAATGACTATCCCCTTTATGTGGATGAGAGAAGGCGCGAAGGTCACATATACAGTGATGGACATGGGTGGCTAAGTGCTGTGTAGTGGACAGATGGAGGGCTGTTCATATGCCTCTTCTGGTAACCTCTAGTTTTAGATAAGAGATGTATGGAGTGATACGGAGAGAAAGTGTCACACGCTTACACACGTCACTCATGTCACATGATGGATTGTCACAGTCCCTGGGTAGAACAGGGGAGTGACTCATCACTGGAAGAGGTCAACTGTGCCTCGATCCCTCTAAATAGTTCCTTGCAAGGGAAACAACTGAATATATGTACGTCAGTCAGTCACCCGACGACATACACATAAGATCGATCGAACAGCAGCTGGATCTCCCGTACGTGTAGTGGGCGTTGTGAGTGTCTGTCTCTATCACTGAGGAAGGCATTAATATGTAGAGAGAAGAGAAATATAGTATGGATATGTGTGCATTGGAAGAGACAGACAGGCAGACAGAGATACGCACACCCACTCAAATCGCCTCCGTTTGCAGCAGTGACGGCGGCTGAGACGGAGTGTATTGCTGCGGTAGGCGCGCACACTGTTTACATCTCTTCTGCACATAGTCTCTCAGTTGCGTGTGCGTGTGTTTGTATGTGTATATATGTGTTTGTGTGCGTGTGTGTGTGTTTGTTTGTGTGTGTGTGTATGTGTGCGTGTGTGTTTGTGTGTGTGTATGTGTGTGTGTATGTGTGTGTGTGTGCGTGCGTGTGCGTGTGTGACAACGACTGCATTGGTGGATGACAGACTCGGGAATTTCAGTAATCCACTATTGATTATATATCGGAATATATCAGGTTACGGTAATCTTGACACTTTCATTTTCCGTTTTTTTGCTTTGTCCTGATAGAGAGTGTTGCACTGATTAGTGTAAGACATGTACCATTTCTGCTTGAGAAAGTATTGCAAGTCAGTCTTTCCACTCTACCCTTCTCTCTCATCATCCCTCGGTATTTTTTCCCATTTTTCAAACTTCACAAAATTTACTTGACGGAGTTACAGAAAAAACGTTTTGCTCGTCACTCACAGTCGCTGACTGCTGGTAGAATGAAAGAAATCATTCTCGGAACATTTATTCTTTCACCCTTTCACTCTTATTGTCACTTTTCCGCTCGTCTATTTCACTCCAAATTTAGTTCATATTTTATTGTTGTGTATTATTTACAATCCGATATATTACATCACTATTTTGTCGTGTCATTATTTATCGATATAAAAGTGAATGGAAGTGTAAATATGTTTGGATGGTACTATCATCCTGTTTACGTCTGTTATCAGCGAACTGTTGTACTACTAGTTAGACTGTCTATTCATTATCTCGTATACAGACACATATTACATGTAGTCCCCCTATCCAGCGCTCTAGCTATAGCTGCAAGTGCAGTAAATTATTAGCTGATGCAGATCTCTACAACCGATCTTTTATCAAACTGTTGGCCAATGTCGAAGTGGTTCATTATAAAATATATAGGGACGAAAATGGAAGGTAAATTGAATCTTGTCCTTTTTCTTACTAGAATTCAAAATCATTTCCAAAAAAGGCTAGTGTAATCTGGTTCGGTCAAGTCTCACATCATTCTATAGCCTGAGATATCTACCAGGTTTTATCTGGCAGGAAAAGTTATGTGGGAGTATCTTACATATATTGGAGTCGTAGGGAGAGGTCCTGATGTGCAAGAGGAATTATAAAAATTAGGAGGGAGGTCTCGAGATGTAGGGATCCTAAAATGGGGGGAATGACCAAGAAACATATCGACAAAAGCATTGTAATAAGTAAAAACAGGTGAAGGCAAGAGCTGTGAAACATCGTGGAGTTATATATCATTAAAATGAGGAAGGGTATATGATTCGTATCGAAAGGACGGAAGAACCATTATTAGAACGACTTGTATTGCCTCATTTTTGATTAAATTTTTCGGCTCCAAATGATCACTTACACTTTATTTCTTCAATCCGATAAAGTCGACATCCCTTTACGTGTTTGCCACTGTTACTGATTATTTGGCTTAATCTCTGCAATCAGCAAGTAGTGTTATTTGAGGTTGTTGTTATTTGACCTGACCTCTCCAATCAGTGACAGTTTTCTTGTTGTGTTTTCTTGTTCATGCTCGGCTTATCGCAGTGTCTGAACGAGGGAGACCACATCCTGATCGTTGTCACATTGGCGCCAAATTGAGACCCTGCAGATTGTTTCTACAAAGGTTCATGGAAGAAAAGGAAAGCGCGATTTCAGGTGTTCGAACCGAAACTTTATTTCAGTTCTTTGAAATTTTATACTTTTTTCTTACAAATGATCTTTATCCACTCTTTACCTGCACAAATCCAATATCTCATGTCATTTTCACTTGTAAATGTATTGGTCTGAATACTGGTACTAAATGTTTCTTATTTCTGCAATGAGTTAAATGAAAGTGATTCAGGAAACGTCACTTTATCCACTTCAATCACTCGTTGATTTCTCAAGTATTTTGTTTACCCATCAACTGAGAAGGTAAAAATTGCGGTTGAGTACAAGTAAAGTACGTCTTCCATTGCTTGACTCTTATTTCTTTGTCAGTGATTTTACTAATATTTAGGTTAATAGCAGGTATAGTAAAATTGTGCACGCACTTGAAGTGTAAAATTGTTCGCCTTTGGCAACTCAACAGATGTGGCCTGGTGGAAGTGGTGGTAGTGTTCGAAACTCAAACGCTTCTTCCGCAATGTCTAGTTCAGCACCTAACGGCGCCAGCGGTAGTTCATCGACCGGTTCTGGGGGCGGTGCGGCGACATCTCAATCATCATTCAGTGGTTAGTTGGATTTCCATTCATCCCTTCACCCGTATAATCTGTTTTAATAATGGTTAATCATTCTAGTGTACAAGGGTATTATGCTGAACTCCGCATCAGAGTTGTGCCGTTCCTAATCGTTAAGGTAAAATGTTCATCACCATACCAAGTGATTGGCTTTACCCTTGAAAATGTGATTTAGTAGGGCTCTGGGGTTCATTTAATCACTTTGATCAGGCTGTCAACGGTATGCTTTTTACAAAACACGGACCAGCCAGATGCGTTTAAAAAGTTCGTTAATACTTTTTGGGATATATTCCATGGCACCACAATGATGATATTAAGACCATACTTTATTAGGTGTGAGGGTAAGTGATCAGCGTGGAGGTGCAGGAAATCAGCAGCGATGGCTCGATCATCATCAAGTACAACAGTGGAATACACAAAGTGCACAGTGGGGACCACATGTCGCAGGTGGTCCAAATCCAGCCCATCCATGGACACTTGCAGCTGCTGCACAACAAGTAATCTTTGCTTCGAAAGCAGTACTGATGAACATATTAGTATTGGATTCATGAGCACCCATTATTCGTATGATAAAAGAAGTAAATTCGGTCCGGTCCGGTGATGTTTGAGGATCATTTTTAAGGCTTAACTGACATTCGTTATCCTAGAGAATAAGACGTAGTGTTATTACAAGTGTCGAACTAGTCTTTATTTAATCACATACTTTTTCTTGATATGAATTACTCATTACAGTGGCCGGGCACACCATCGTCAAATACGGGGACAGGTGCTTCTACATATGCCGAACATGCAAAAAAAAGTATGATGGGACGTGGTGGACAAGGTCAGGCTCAAGGGCGATACGATCAACAACAGCAACAATGGAACCAAGTGAAAGTAGATCAGGTGATTGTTAATTTTTAATAAAGATCAAAAATTTCTTCTCGGGAATGGGTTAAAATCGAAATACGTTTATTTGTATTACCTAATGTTTTTTTGCAGCAGACTTCTTGGGATACGAGTAGTTTGGCAGGCTTTGGCAATATACATACTACCAGTGATGCAAAATTGTCAGCAGCGGAATGGGGGTCAGCCGGAGCACCGAATACACGTTGGGCTCCACGTAAATGTTTTGTTTATTGCTCATGTTTATTGATCGTACTTCCATTTAGGAAACTCATAATTTCATTTATTTGATAAAACCGAACACTTCATGCCAACAAGGAATCGGGGACGTAGTGGATGTTCGGAGAGAATCTAGCAGCGGAACGATGCTAACACTTACTACTCATTAAAGTCAAGCGATATGTTTTAAATTTTTTTCTTGCAGCCGTTACCCAGTGGCCAGTACATGCTGCAGCTACATCAAGTACTACAGGCCCCGATTGGGCCACAGCTGCAGTTGTAGCTGCAGCAGCAGTGGCACATCATCGTCACGACACTACAGCAGCACCTTGGACGAGCACTACGATGGCAGCTCATCCAGCGGCTGCAGCATTGCCGCCGCAAATTGGAGCAGCTTGGGGCCATAATCCGACGACCGGACAACAACCATCAGCCTCTGCATTACCAAATCTCAATGAACAGGTTCATTTTGAGCATTTCTATGACGAGATATGTGTTCGGATTTGTTTTTGGTAATGTTTAAGAAGTAGATCTTGATGTGGAGTATGCTTATGCTTTTAAAGTTCGTACTGTTTTTTCAGATCTTTTCCTTTCTCTATTTTCTTATTGTAATAAATCTGCACTCCAAAAGATTACGAGATTTTATAATTTTGTATGTTCGACGCATTTTTGATTATTTTATTCGTTGAGCATCGTTCCATTGAATTATTTCAAAAATTTTTTTGCAGTACGACCCAAATCCTCAAACACCTGGTCCATGGGTTGCCCCACAACCGCAAGAAATGAATAACGATATGATGTGGCATGATCCAAATCCAAAACAAAAGAAGGTGCAGCGTGATACTGGTACTGCAATTTGGGGTGATCCAAGTCAACAACCTGTAGTGAGTTTACAAATCTTTTACGATTGATGATGTTAAATACTGAAATTTTTTCCGTGATGCATTTTGTCGACGTACATATTTGCATGCAAACTAATTAGATGCGAGAGTTTTCTACAGGAAATAAAACGTTGGAAAGATGCTGAAATAGATGATTATTCCCACATACAAAGTGCAGTGCCGAGCGGTGGTGATTGGAACATCATTGCGATATCATCAAATGGTAGCACTGTTTGCACGGGCGTCAACGGTGCCATAATCGGTGGTCCTGGTACAGGAAATGCAACGAGTTCGTGCTGTTCGGCAACTGGAACAAACGTTTCAACTCCAACGACAACTGGTAATGGGCCATGGCCAGACGGTAAGAGTGTGTCAAAATTTTTTTCATTTGCGAGTTTTTTGGTGTTTTGAGAAGTTTTCGGACTAACTTCTCAGTTATTCTTACATCTTATGAATAAGCCACATCTTTTTTCACCTATCGTTTTTCCCAAGCATGATAATATATTTTCATAGGTTCCCATCCAGAATCTTCGTCATCAGGACATCAGGAACGGTGGCAACAGCAGCCTAGTGCATGGGGTGATAAAGTAAGGTTTTGTCTGCTCAGTAATTTTCTCATAAGTTCCATTTAATTTGGCATTAGCTCTTCCGACTGCTGAGAATTTTGTGATTTTCCAGCTCGATAATATCGGTGGTAATCACCATCTACCAGATCTGGTTAGTGCTTAATGACATAAGTTGTTCAGTACCTTCTATTACAGATACATCGGTTGCATCTCGCAGTACTTAAGTTCTGGCCTAGAAAGGGATAGTTGTTGCCGTTTTCTCTGCATCTCCGCGTCCTCGAATTATTGGAGTGATAGGTAAAAAGAGGTTTAATTTTGATTTGGCAAATCTAACATTATTTTTTCAGGTATCTGGACCTCCTTCTGTAGGTGGCATTGGGATACATGGTGTATTAGATAATGCAGTGATTCGACCTGATATTGGAGGTGGCAATATTGCAGGAACAACACCCTACACTTCGCTTACGCAGCAAATTGCTGATCGGGTGTGATTTAATTCAACTGTTGTTTCGAAATATTTGGCTGTCACAAATATAGATCAAGGAACGCTGATGGCATAATTTAACCCATTTTTACCTGGAGGAGCTTTTATGGTTACTCTCAGGTCTGAGAATGCCCTCAGTTATAATTAATTTTCGAGAAATTTTTACAATTGAAATTATGAACTATTCATTTCAAATAATTTGCAGATCCGTATCGCGGTTAGTAAAGGTCTAATTGATGTTTCGATGCTTAATCGTCCTTTACCTCAGAGCGCCCTGGTTGTTTTGAATACTCTTCTTCAAAAGTTCCCCAAGCTTGAGCAAGCTCAGCAGGAATACCAGCAAGTCATGCGTGCTATGAGTAGCCCAGCACAGAAGGTAGGAGTGTATTTATAGAACATCTGTTGTTAGAGATGCCTTCGTTCCGTGTATCACGTAATGTGTTTATCAGACGAAGGACTATTAGCAAATTCTGCAGTTACAATTTCTTTGTAATGAAATGTTGGAAATTAAGTTTTAGGTTGAATCAGAACGCTTAGTGGTAGAAATAAACGGCTTGCAGCATGAAATTATACAGCTGCGGAATTCAATGAATGAACAGTTATTGAAAGGTTAGAAGCTTAATTATGAATCTTTTTGTTTACTTTCCAGTTCCTCTATTATCTAGTGTTTTTGACCACAAGTTTTTCATGATTAAATTGGTATTTTCCCTAGCTATATTATATATGCTTAGAAATCAGATGATAATCATTCGAGGTTCCATTCCATGGTATGGATATTATTTTGCTAATGAAAAATTGCTGATGGGAAAGTTGACAGCTTTCATCTGAACAAAAGTTTGGTATGATCGATTAGCTATCTCACTTCTCCTTTTTCAGTTCGTTCAAATACTCTAATTAATAGCATTTTAGCACCTGCACAGCAGCAAGATGGACAAAGCCGTTTGCAACAGTGGAAACAGGCCAATGCAACGAATACACAAGATTGCAACAGTGATAAGGTCAGTAGATTTTCTTAAGATCACCAAGAGGAAAATTTCGGCAAACTCGAACTATACTTTCAGTGCAACTAGTGTTAATTATTATGGCTCAGGTACCGTTTCCAACACTTTCTCTATTTGTGTAGAGTTTTATTACAACGGAAAATTGATATAGTTTTTTTTTCGGCAGCTGTTCTAAAGTTCAATGTAGTTCCCTGTCAATACAGTAACATTTTTAGATGTGTGCATCTTCATTGGATCCGAACGTTTCGGGTCTCATTGCAGGCACACAGTTATTGACAATAGACGGAAAAATTGATTGGAAAGTTGGTAGTCTGGATTGGTCGCCACCACCTTCTGGAACTGGAAATGGAGACAAAGGCAAGAAATGAGCCATATTTTAAACCCTTTTTTTGGTTCTGCTCTGCTGCGATAGGTGATTCGATCAGTAGATTTAGCATAGTCATTGCAAAGTATTTATCAGTGGACAATGGGATTTTAATCAGTCTGATGTTTCCTCGACTTGTTTTTTTGTTCGATGCACTGCTTAGGAGGGGTGTGTGACGAATAATACTGGTCTTATTAAAATCCATATGCAGTGGCCGATATAACCGATAAAGATGATCCAAGTAGTAGTTCCGGTGAGAAGCAACAGCAGGGAGCCTCGTCATCAACCAATCAGTCTTGTAATGGTACTCCAACACCGCAGCAGCAATCTCAGACACAGTCTCAAGCGGCTCCAGTCGATGATGGACCACAGGAATTTGTTCCGGGGAAGAAATGGGAATGGAGGGATCCCAATAAAGTAGACTTTTATTTCACTTCAAATAATTTGACAAATTAATGTTCAAAAACATAAGCATCGATTGGTTTTTGTTACTACGAATTTGGACGACCGTTATTTTCGACGGCATTTATGCGCTATTTTCAACTACTTGCTTCTAAAATTCACATGCATTGTTTTCATTATTTTCAGGTAGCGGAAGACCCGAATGCAACTCCAGGCACATGTAAACCAAACCCACTACTGACAACCGGTTCCACCGCTCAACCTTTCTACATATACGGTAGTAACACTAATAGCAGCCTACCACAGGCTAGTGCGGCCACTAATTCGTCGAATGTTGTAACTACTACGGCTAATTACTTAAATGATCTACAGACTATTAACAAGGTTATTTTTGTGCTATCATTTCCTCATTGTTTAATATGCTTATTTTTAATATGCTCTATTCCCGTATATCTGCATGTTTCTGTTGTTCCCGTGGTAATGTAGTTAGCAGGAGAAATCGAATAATTCGATTAATGTACATCTCACAATTTGGCATAGCTGCGGTTTCGATCATATTTCGCCTTATGATTTTCTTCAGCTAACACAAAGCACATATTATTTCATGACTCCCCTGATTCATTTATCTTGTATTCTTCAATAATTCAAATTGTTCCAGGTTTCAAGCAACATAGATCCTTTGTGCTGTTTTTATTTCATGAAGCAACTATCTTTTCTTTTTTAGAGTCCAAGTGCTAGTTATCTAGGATGGAACAATGCTACTGCTAACCCAACTGCTTTTACTGCCAGCGACATGTGGCCTACGGTGACAACAGGCACCACTGCTGTGCGACAGTCTCGAGTTGCATCTGGGCCAACAGGAATCGGACCATTTGGACATGCAGCAGTACGAGGTGGACCTGTAGGTACCGCTGGACTCACTATGGGGCCTTATCAACGTTCCAATTTAAGTCCATTTGGTCTCCAGCAACCACAGCAGCAGTACCAGTGGGTTTTCGTGCAGTTACACGGAGTGGTAAGTTAATAGTTACACATTTTTATTTAATTAATGCGTACCGGTATAGTAGTTTGCAGTTTTGCGACATTTTCCTTTATATCGTCTCTTCTTCGTTATCAGGCGTATCTATTTCGAGAAGTGTCACTATCGTAATGTCCATACTCTGAATTCCTTACTGACTGATCGATCTCTAATTTGCAGAACGAAAAACAAGTACAGATGTTATGCCAGAAAGTGGGCCAAATAGTGCATGCATTTTGTCCACATGGTGCTCCCTTTCTGTGTGTTAAATTCATAGAGCCTGCTGAGGAAATTATTCGGCGACTGAAGACAGAAGCTCCATTTTGTAAGTAATTCTTTATAGTCTTTAGCAAGGTAATTCAACTTGAAGTCCGGTAGATGATTATGT